CGGGCGCGACACTGAGGGTTGCAATCCGTTGCCGGACACGAAAAAAGACAAAAAGGAAAAAAAAAAGAAAAGAAAAACAGAACATTAAAAGGGGAGAAATTTGAGTGACTAAAAAAATGTATAGCACCTTACCATGTGAGACTACAACACCGGCTACATCTTTATCTTGTAATTTCTCTTCTAAGCAGTAACAGCAAGCAGGAAACAACAGAACTGGAGGCAAGGTGCATTAGCAACATGCAAAGCAGTTTTCAAATCCAAAGGGAGAGATCTGGGCTTTAATTTTAGCTACAGTGCTCTGATAGTTCTTTTAATACTCTTTTAAAACAGTGTTTTAAAGTGCTTAGCTAAAGAAACTGGAATGCTAAGATGTACTAGCAGATCTTGAATGAAAGTAAATAAAATCCTCCAGGAAAAGCGTAATACATAGTGGTGGTGTTATAGTTTATTGCTGTCGTTTTTTTGAAAAAAGAAAAGCTTCAATTTTATCAGGATTTAACCTATGCAAATTGTAAATCTGCCATGAATTTCAGACAAAAATAGTTTTAAAGGATAAAATATGTATTCAATACAATATGAACAGCTCTTCAAATTTTTAAGATAGTCTCTCTAGAGCACAAAAGATATTAAGCTAGCTGCAGCATCTTATTACTTTTTCCTCCAAGGAAGCAGTCCTTTAAAAAAATGTCTTGTAACGTTTGCTAAATGAACATCCCCATTGCTCAGTCTGGTTCAGTGATTCCCAGTCGGAGGAGGTTTGTTCCCCAGAGGCTTTTGGCAATGTCTGGGGACAAAGGAGTGCTACTGGCATCCAGTGGGTGAAGACCAGGGATGCTGCTAAACATCCTACCATGCACAGGACAGTCCCTGACAACAAAGGATTATCCATCCTAAGATGTCATTGCTGAGGTTGAGAAACCCTGATCTACCTTATGGCTTATTCAGTGGTAAATGTCCAGCTAAGAACTAAAAAACTTAATTATTGTCAGATTTCCACAATTCCAAAATGTTCATTTTATCTAGAGAAAAATATCTGGATATTTGTCTACAGTGTTGGTTTATTAAGGCAATGCAGATACAACCACACAACACAAATGCCTGCTATTGGCAAAGTCATCACTTAGAACTACTCAGCCGCAAACCGTTTCTTTTAAATAACTGCCCCCTTCCCCCCAAAAAGACCAAAAAACTGAAACTAGGTTGTACCAAAATATAATTTTTTCCTTCTTTTTCAGATTGAGAAGATAGAGTGGGACACATGGACCTGTGTCCTGGGGCCCACCTGTGAGGGAATCTGGCCAGCACACAGTGACGTGACTGATGTAAATGCCGCCAGTCTTACCAAAGACTGTTCCCTCTTAGCCACTGGAGATGATTTTGGTTTCGTTAAGCTTTTTTCATATCCTGTCAAGGTAATAGTGCATATTTATTATATATACCTACTCAGTCTCATTAATAACCCAAAATCATTCTGTTGTATCTAAGTGGATTTTTAAATTTTGAAGACATCAGTAATTAATGATGTTATTTATAGTATCATTAATGCTATATAAAAACTTCCCCGACATTATGCTTGAGTGACTAATTTGAGTGAAATTCTCATGGCATAAAATTCCTCTTTGAAAGGCCTTTAGCAGTCATCAAATCCAACATCTTACAAACTGTAAAGGAAGAGTCATCTTTATGATGGCTCAGCCCTGTGCTTTCTAACTCGTGCCAGCATATTTCCAGAGATGAGGAATTTATTACCTCACAGAGAAGCCCAATTCATTTTTTTTTTGTGACCGGTAAGGGGATTGCAACCCTGGGCTTGGTGTTGCCCGCACCACGCTCAGCCAGTGAGCGCACCGGCCATCCCTAATATAGGATCCGAACCTGCGGTGGGAGCGCCGCTGCGCTCCCAGCGCAGCACTCAGCTGAGTGCGCCACGGGGCTGGCCCCCAATTCATTTTTATTTTTATTTATTTATTTATTTTTTTGTCTTTTTCCGTGTCCGGCAATGGATCGCAACCCTCAGTGTCGCCCCCGCACCGGACCGGGACCGGCAACGGGATCGCAACCCTCGGCGTTGCCCCCGCGCCTCGCTCAGCCAGTGAGCAGGAACCGGTCTGTATGTGGGATCCGAACCCTCGGGCGGGAGCGCCGCCGTGCTTCCCAAGCGGCGCACTATCCAGTGCGCCACCGGGCCGGCCCAACCCCAATTCATTTTTAAATAGCTCCAGTTGTTAAGAAGTTTTGCTCTACATTGAGATGAATCCATTTCTCTTTAGCCAAAATTCTGCCTTCTGGACCATCATTGAGTAAGTCTAGTCCTCCGTATATAGGAAGGTTATATACGGAGTCTCATTTTCTCCAGCCTAAACAGCTCCAGTTCTTTCAGCCATTTCCCATATGCCGTGGGTTCCAGCTGCCCTCTCCCTTTAAGCACACTCCATTTTAATAATTCCTTCTTAACTGTCTGCTCTAGAACTGAATTCATTGTTTCCAATGTAATCTGACCAGCTCAAAGCACAGTGGGACTGTTAACTTCTTGGTTTTTATTTTACATTTGTATTAAATTAAAATGGCATCAGCTCTTTGGGCTGCCACACAACACAATTAATCTTAGATGTCATTCTCAAAAATATTCTAGTTATCCTCCATCCTGTACTTATACAGTTGATTTTCTAAAATCCTGAGGACATGGGCCGGCCCGGTGGCGCACTGGATAGTGCGCCGCTTGGGAAGCACGGCGGCGCTCCCGCCCGAGGGTTCGGATCCCACATACAGACCGGTTCCTGCTCACTGGCTGAGCGAGGCGCGGGGGCAACGC